CAAAGGATGAATATTCAGTCAGCATGACAGTTGACAGATCCTTGAATTTATCTTCAGGATTGACAGAAAAAGATACTTATTTCCAACATTAATTTGCACGTGTCCAACAAATGTGAGTATACAGAGGCACCAATCATTCATTAATACAACAAAAAAGAGAAGACATTTTTAAAATGTCTTACTTACCATCTCTTATTTCCATTGAAATTAATGTACGTCAGTGATCAATGTATGGAAGAACTGACCGATAAATTTTATCAAAAGTTTTTAGTTATTCGTTTATCAACTACCAGGATCGAATATTTGAATGGCGATTCGATACATTCAAACTCTTTGTACTTGATTTGAAGATCTTTTAATTACAATAATGAGTACAAGGTTTTTTTCAATTTAGATTCTGGGATTTTACCAACTGATTGATATTACCAAGTGATTTTACCAGCTGATTGATATTACCAAGAGATTTTACTAAATGATTGTTAAAATCTACTTCGAAAAGAAACTCACTTTGGAGCTTTGCTTCGCACGTTGCGCAGAAACTACTTCAAAATTTCATTTGAAAATAATCGATAGTCGTAGTTTTGTCCCTACACACTAAGAAATTGAATTTTAGAAACGGTTGACGAACAGCCGAAAGCGATGTCTCGGAAGCTTTGGGACAATTCATTTATACACCAAACCGCGATCTACGTCTTCCTTTACAAAGGAAGAATGATAATTTAAAAAAATAAGCAAGTGCTTACTCACTATTCTCAAATCAAACAAAGACGGGGTATATAAGTAGATATCATTCAGTTATATATATATATATATATATATATATATATATATATATATATATATATATATATATATATATTTATGAATAAAAAATGACAATAGCAAAATTGTAATTGCTGACGCGTTTCGTCCAATGTGGACTTTATCAAAGCAAAATACGAAAATGAAAAAAATATATATATTGATATGATAAAAATTAGTTTTACGGTATGATATTGTTATGGGTTATATTGTTCAACATCAGGGATAGAGCGTTTATAAATATAAAACTGGATACTGTGGTCAACCCCCCGTTTCAACATTCTGGCTCATGCTTAAACGCAATCGTCAGGTTTGAACATTACGTTTAAGCATTAAACAGACCGTCGTCACTGGATGTTGACCTCAATGTCAAATTATATATATATATATATATATATATATATATGTGTGTGTGTGTGTGTGTGTGTGTGTGTGTGTGTGTGTGTGTGTATTCTTCATATAATCCCAATTTAATGTCATAAGTTTAATATCCAGGTTTAGTTTTATAAAACTTTTTCCTTTTAATACAAATATCTTTCCCCCTCCCCTGACCACTTTCATGCATTTCATCTGACTGAAACATTGAAATGAATGAATTCTATATTATTTTTTGACGATTCTTTCTTCTTTTTCTTTCCTTTTTTTTTTTTTATTTTTTTGTAGCTGTCACAGTTAAATTTCTAATTCCGACACGAACTCAGTCTATATCAGGGTTGATTAAGACTGACGAATTATATTTTCATCTGTCAAAATTAGCTTACTCCCCTTATGAGGTGATTTTGGAATTTATTTTCTGTTAATTTTTGCTCTATTAACAATAAATTGAACTCTTTTTTGTGGGTCCATTTTAATATTTTATATTGCTAGGATCTATTGGATTATACACCAACGGATTTAGTATTTTATATATATATATATATGTCTGTGTCTCTACCCCCTCTGTGTGTGTGGGGGGGTGTATTGTGTGTGTATACATGCATATATTTATAAGAGACTTACTTGAAAGAAAGGCTTTTGAGGTCTGGATGTTTATGGTACTGAGCCAGTGTCTTGTTGCTACCGACCGGAAGTACAATTCTGTCGATCACATGCAGAACGCCGTTGTCTGCCATTATATCTGATTCTAGTAGTGCTGCTCCGTTCATATAATACATCTGCAAATACAAACAAACTCTCAGTGATTTCTCCTGTGGGATATAATCACAGCGGGGTGGGGGTACATTGCGAATATAATAACATCGACTTAAATCTAATAATATTAAAAAAAAAAAAAAACACATTTTCGGTCGTTCTTCTCCCGTAAAAATCTCTGTTGAATTTGTGGTTTTCAGGCATGAGTAGCATCAACCCTGTATTAACTAATTGGTTGATACTTTGAACTGAAATCCTCAAACAGATTTGAATGTTTTGTGACTAGAACCTCGTTACTGGTCTTTCCAATAATTTTACAAAGAAAAGTTTTGCCTTCCGGCTACACGTTGTTCAATCTATAATGTAAATTACCTCTCTTTAGGCAAGAGGCAACTTTCAAAACGCAACATACTATACAGGTTTGGACACATTTTCAACAAATTAACTTTTCAGCAACATATTCTTGAATTGGAATATTAACAATTAACATCTTCAATATAATTTCCATCATTTTTTATGCAAAGATCGATTCGCTTTGCAAGATTCCCGTGAACTTGATGCAATAACTCCACAATTTTAGCACAATCGTTATGCGTTCAATCAAGTGTGTTGCATCTGTGATTTTCATCGAGTACACCTTCTCCTTTAGCAGACCCCTGAAAATAAAGTCAATTCTTTCTTCTTTTAAGAAAACCATGTTTAATCTCTGGAGGTAAAAATAAATACAGTTAATGAGATTTCCCTAACCCTGTCCAGACAATATATCAACTTTAGAATCATGTAAACTTTCGTATAGTTACGAGATCTCTATGCATACCTGTTGACAAAATGTATAGTCACTACTGAGACAATGTTTTACCCTACATTCATCACCTAATAAAGACCTTGTCGAAATCTAGATTGGTTGACTTGTGAAAATTTATTGCAAAATAAATTTTTGATTTCAGTACTTTTGAGAGAAATTTGGACTAATAAAAGGAAGAAAGTCAAGTTAATAGCACTAAACATTAAAAATATAGTTCAAGTAGTTATTTACAACCCAAACCGATGACATTTTAATTATGATTAGGTCATTTATTTTATTGTGAAATATTTTATGGTAGAGTGTAAACTATTTGTCTTTTAGGTAACAGCTCAACTTAGAAAAGGGGGAAATTATACATTGCATCACGGTTATCAAGTTGTTGGTGTACTTTTAAAAAACCATTACTCCTAGATTTCGAATTTCGCTACTTGCTAGTAAAGTAGCTTAACTTTCTACGTTAAAGATAAAGTTGCATTAACTTGGACTGCTAAAAAGAAATAAAGTCAATTCGAAATTTAATAATATTAGGATTTGTGTTCAAATTGAACCCAAATCAGTAGTGAATTGTGTTCAAATTGAACCCAAATCACTTCTTATTGTCAAGTCAGGAAACCTTTCATTTTTTTAAGGAATTATATTTTTCCTAAATACCAAAACGACGCGGATAAGTCTTATCGGAGCCTCACTTGCCTCAATATCAAATAGTGTGACTCAAATTGACAGTATTTCCGTTATAGACACTCTAGGAGTATATAAACAGCTATTGACACAAAGTGATGTGTACGAGACACTTTGACTCGCTATTGCCTAATGCCAGATATACAAATCTTTGAAAAGCTGTAAATCTTTTAGTTAAAAAAAGACTTTCTGTTGCCAATTAATTCAAACGTTCGCATCCGATGCCTTTCAAAGTAAAATCCATAATGTGTGCGTGTATATGCGTATGTCACAACGGTTGGTAGAGAAAAAAGTATGGATGTGTGAGAATTTGACCAAGTATATCCCAAACCCTGTCAGTAAGGAATATAAAATGTTTTTATAGTTTTTGCCAACATTTACAGGAGCCAGAATGTATTCAAATATACATATATAAGACAATTTGGACAACTGTTTTACTATTTTCCGTTTCGCTGATGAATGATCATCAGAATAAGAATTTGCTTCAAAAAAATTTACATTAGCGAAATAAAATGGGATTCACTTTAAGCAAACGAACGTTTTATTTGAACTTTATTTGTATTTTATTTGTTCTTTACTTGTATTTTATTTAAACTTTATGTGTGTTTTATTTGTACTTCATTTGTATTTTATTTGTATTTCATTGGCATTTTATTTGTATTTTAATTGAACTTCATTTGTACTTTATTTTTATTCTATTTGTACTCTGTCTTATTTGTATTTTATTTATACTTTATTTGAACTTTATTTGTATTTTATTTGTATTTTATTTTTACTCCGTATTTTATTTGCATTTTATTTCTACTTCATTTGTATTTTATTTCTACTTTATTTGTATCATTACAGGTCATGTTTGTCAACCATTAAAATTTGACAACTTTTTGAAATCTCTGTAAATGCCTCCAAGTTCATATCAAGATTTTTTTTTTAACATCGGGATATTTATTGTTACATGACTTGTGCAAAAAGAATAGCCGGGTTTATTGGCTGGTGACGTTCGTAATTATCACATTTATATATGCTGTCTACAAGAAATTAAAACCAAAGACTTGATATTAATCTCGGAGATAGACAGCCGAAGTTAGTAGCTTTGGAAACAGACAGTAGATTTATTATGGAAATGGTTTTCAATAGTAAATGGAAGAATAACATCCATAGACATTGCACGAACAAACAGAACATTTGCATTGAACAACAGCATTAAAAGAACTATCGATAAATGTCTATCATTCTCTGTAAAAATACTTTTATGTTGAAAAGAGAGGTTTGAAGAGGACTGATGAGATAATTACAAAGTTCCTGAAAATGAAAAATTCCATGATTTGCAGCGTGTCTTCAAATCGAAACAGCTCAGATGATGAGGAGGATTTTAGAGAAACTTAAGTATAGTTTTATTCTTATTTATTTGTGTTCGTTTATTGATCTCCTTGATAAGACCCAAAGAAGAATCAGCAATATTATTGGTCCTGCTCTGGTGGCTCGACTTCAGACACTTTCCCACCGTCATAGGGTTACCTATCCGTGTCTTTTCTATAAATAATTTCATGGTAATTGTTCAGATGAGCTCTTCGTTATGGTGTCTATTTACGGCCATATGCCGTTGAAACATTGGTTCTAGTACGATCACCAAAGTTAAGCAACCTCGAGCCTGGTCAGTACCTAGATGGGTGACCGTTTGAAAACACTAGATGCTGCAAGTTGGGATGAGTTGCTGGAGTAAAGGATAACACCTCGAAATTATAAATCGCTTTACCCATTTCCAATTCCAGCCAGGTTCATTATATTCATTTACGTGCAAATACCTTTGGGAAAGGCATGAATCGGCATTTTCTCCCTGCATTTATGGGTTCATTAATACGTCTTGTATCAGTAACTCATTATTTCAAAAAGAAAAATTCTTACAATCCAAAAATATTTTCTGTCTTTAAATGACTTACAAAGGGTTGATAAGCTATAAGCTGTAAAAAAAAAACAAAAAAAACCCCAATAAATCAGTTTTTGATCGAATATTATTTTCTTTAAATTCCCGGATGTTTCCCCCATTGCTAATATTTTATGTGGTTCATACGGAGTTGTTTGACCCGAAGACATTTTTATCATAGGTAGGAAGGAAGGAAAAAATGGAAGCCTAGAATTATATATATATATATATATATATTAAAGAATGATTTTTAAAACAATTATGTCTATTTGTTTCAGCTAAAATAAAATTTCGTCGAAATTTAAAAGAAAACCTCGAACGTCCGATAAGTGCGACAAAAATTTTATTCAACATAAACAAGGAAGAGAAATAACAGAAAGACTTGAAGTCGCCTCGCAAACGAAACGCCGAAATCTTTAATAACGATTCACAAGGGAAAAAGAAGTAGGTGGCTTGAAATGTGTCAAATATCAAACGTCACGTGTGTCCACTCTCCTGAGCAAATGTCTTTTATCTCTGCTCTAAAATGCTTTTAAGAATATTTTTATCCTGATCGATGAATAAAGTTACGAAAATAACCGATTAATGTCGATCTGTGATTCTCCAAAAGAAATTTCGAATGCTTTTCTAAATTGAATAAGGATCAATGTGACGGAAATAGCTTCGATCTTTGATATCGAATCATCAATAACGGAATAGTTGCATGAGAATCATACAAAAACTGGGTGTAAATAGGCTTAAACAACTAACGAAGTGTTGTAGAGTAGTTTTCACAGTGGAGGTTTGTATTTCGCTAAGTCGGTTCTAAAAGGGTCCGACGTACAAAACGTTAGGAACTTGAAATAAGAGTTAATGACGCAGAGAAATCTAGTTGTGACGGTTGATACTGTAATGTCCGACATCAACTGACTCACTCAATTCCACTTAGCCCAACTGTCGACCGCTACTACTACTACTACTACTATTTATTATGTGTGGGAGAGTCTATTAATAATAGAATAGGTACGTTCAGGTATAACACGAAGAAAATAAGTGAACAGTCAGTGAAATTAAAAAAAAATATAATTTAGAAAATAAATTCAAAAAGAAAAAAAATTGCATTCTTAAAGTCGACCTTCAGTAGGTGCACAATCATGGCTCTCCGCCGATTCTTTTGTTTTTAAATTCAGTGAATCATGCGGACATGTGGGTGATGAATTATTTTTGTTGTATCTTTAAAGAGGTTATAAAAAGACAAAAGGTGGTACTCGAGTGAAAGGAACAGCAGCATGGGCGTAGATGAAAGAAAGGTTTATTGTAAAAGAGAATGCACTACTGAAAGACAGGGAATCGGGTGGCAGGCTAGTAATTCCCGAAGCAAGGATATTTACCAACTGCCCACGCGGTCAGATGTGGCATAAGGCCGAATTTAACTTGGGGTATCCGAGCCTGTAGGCTCGGGCAAAATTCCCTGTAGAACCCGTAAAAAACGGGATCGGGTAGCTGTCTACTACCCCAGACGAGCCTTTTCAATATATATATATTGTGCACATTGATTGAAGCAACCGCTTTAGTTTACTTTCTTTCATCATACGGTCAGTTTTAGACAGTGATATTGATTTCTATTTTTCCTCATATTAAGTCATTTGTAGTGGTGTGCAGTAATATGAATCTATTTTCGGAGTGTATGATGAAATTTTTTTGGCCTTGAAAAATATTGAATCATCCGTTATTATATTTGATTTTTATCAGAGCAGAACTACTGTCTTGATTGTCGATTAGTTGTCCTACGGCCAGTGTCTGCGATAGACGTTACTTCAAGGATGCATACGAAAATGGTAATGCTGTACTAACACACTGGCAAGGCTTACCAGTGAGCAAATCAAAGTACTATAGACTGGCCCGGAAAATCTCCTGATTTAAATCTAATGAAGCATATTTGGTCACTCTGAAGGGAAAGACTTTGTGGAATGGACATACGAAGTACTAACATGACCACTGGGACATGATTTACAGGAAAAATACGAAACGAAAGTATATAATAACGAAATTACTTGATAAAATATTATTTTAATGTATACTATACTTATTAGGTAAAGCGCTTTATATCGAGTGACAGGCCCATCGATTGACTTTAAGCATTTTATGTTTTATATTCTCTAAGGAAACTATATTATTATAATACTAATAGTCATTTACACGATTCAGACTATTGTCCTAATCTTTGTTGCTATATTCATCACAATGTTTCGGCCATCTTCAAATGGTTGGAATGTCGAATTGAACCCTTTATTTCGCTCGCTGTTCTAGTTCAATGTTCCTTGTCTAATGGATTCAGTTATCAGTTATCTCCTCTCCAAGTTCTCCACTGCCTTAACCAGATATTGAACTCAAGATCTTTGGGTCCTGTCACTGGATCTAACTAACACTTTTATCCACTGTGTCCTTGAGGACATCTGCGTATGAATTTCTGGGTATTATTAAACTAATGTCTTCAGCCATCATTTTTTACCAGTGCTCATATTGCAATATTTGCTGTTATCATTGAATGTTTTTTTACCAGAGCTCATATTGCAATTTTTGTTGTTATTGCTTTTCTCTAGCACTCAAATATTACTGGTTCCCATATTGTATTCATTTCTATGCTTGGTCGACTCAGGAGATTTTTGTGGCCTAGCATATGTGCTGATTCCTTAAGTTTATCCATTGATGTTCTTTGTCTATGATTTCAACCTGATCTAACAGAGGACGGTGATCTGTTTTTTCTCCTCATATATGGTCAGCCATGCCTGATTTTTCCGCATGCGCTCGTGTTACAGATTTCTGGTGCCTGCCTCTCCTATATATTTCTTTCCGCATGTTCTACTCTATGGGGGGGTTGTTTTACTCGGGAGAGATATCAGTGATGTGTCGTCCAGCCTTTGAAGGTTGTCCTGATGTTATATGGACCGAAGATCCTTTGTATTTTCTCTGATAACCCCTTCACATAAGGCAGGCAGACCGATTTCTGAGCACAGACGGATAATAGTTATTATTGCTTTATTTCTAGATATCGAGATCTTTATTTTCAAGGGCTGCTGGCTTTGAATGCCTTGTTTCCGGTTGATCGCTTTTTTTGGCGAAATAAAATATCCTTGTTGTTGTTGTCTCTCTCTCTCTCTCTCTCTCTCTCTCTCTCTCCCTCCTCTCCCCTCTTTCTCTTTCTCTCTCTCTCTCTCTCTTTCTCTCCCTATATGTATAGCTGGTCAGTCGTATTCAAGAGTATACCCGTCTACTAGGGCTATATATATATATATATATATATATATATATATATATATATATATATATATTATAAATTACAGAGGCTATATATATATATATATATATATGTTATACTGGAACATACCTATTCTATTGTTAATAGACTCTCCCACCTATAATAAGTAGTAGTAGTAGCAGTCACCAGTCGCTCAGTAAGTTGGTGAGTCAGTCGATGTCGGACATTAAAGTATCAACCACCACAACTAGATTGCTGCATCATTAACTATTATTTCAAGTTTCTAACGTTTTGTATGTCAAACCTTTTTAGAACCGACTTAGTGAAATACAAGCCTCCACCGTGAAACTACTCTACAACAATATATATATATATATATATATATATATATATATATATATATATATATATATATATATATAATTCATCTTTCATTAAATAATATAGACAATGTTTTGTCTATTTATTTTAAGTAAGTTCCTTTCATATTGTCTGATAAGCTTAATCACATTATCGTTGAAAAACGAAAAGAAAACACCATATTGATACATGTTTAAATCCAATCTAAGCTTTCGGCTGACATAATCCATTATGAAAGATGCCACTTTCAATAAATCAAACAACACACAGACGAAACAACAATGATAGTCCGCCTTTGCTGCATGAAAAATTTCCAAGTAACGACAAATTCGTATATACGAGACGCAGAAACGAAAATCGTGTCGCAGCTCGTAACGTCACACGAGGGTTTCAGTGTAGTGGCCCAGTTCAGATTGTTTATCACGCTAGATAACACACTCTCTCCCAGAAACTGTAACTAAGATCTGCTTAGCATAGTTGCAGTATAAACCAGAGGTGGGCTCTAGTGAGTGTTGAACAAAACATAAATGTGTCTAAGCCATCGTCTGCAATAGGGATTGGCTAACCGCCCTAATAGATGCGTATCCTCGAATACAAGTGGCCAGATATTATACATATATATAAGTGAGCATTAAAGTCAACACTCCGAAGCAACAGGCTTTTTTATGCTAGACGCAATCGTCCGGCCGCGAGTGTTGGATTTTTCTCGACTATTTATATATATATGGGTCGGTGCAATTTATTTTGTCGGGAGTGACTTGTTTATCATTTACTTGTTTATTTGTTTTAGTTAATTTAATTTACATATTTTGCATTTTGATTTTTTATTTTATATATTTATTTATTCTTTTCGGCTTTCGAGGTTATATTAACGTAGAAATCCCCCAATGTTTGTTTACTATGTTACTATATATTTACATACGCTCTATGATATTGAGCACTTTATTCCATAAATATAGCACACCTTAAAACTATATTTCTTCATATATATATATATATATATATATATATATATATATATATATATATATATATATGCGTACGTATGTGCGCAACAACACATATATGTGCATATATGCCGAATCTCACACTGTTCACATATCTTTATGTTTGTGTGAGCTACGGTGAGTGAGCGAGCGGTGTGTGTCTGCGTACGTCAATGAATGTACGTGCGTGTAT